TACACCTGAATATGAACAAGCCAAAACAAAACAAATACACAGAAAATGTTGAAAACCGGATCAGGTCCAGCATGCATCAGAGGGAGCTCAACTGACAAAGTTTTATCTGGTCAAGTCAGATTTATGCCTTTGATCTTCTATGTTCCCTTCTCCAATGCCCTCTGTTTAGTAACCTCTCTCTGCCCCTTCCTCAATTGTGGATAAGAGGGAGTTCACCGGAGGCTTGTTTCCTATGTAGTTCCCACAAATGGGCTCTCACTGTCATCCATAGCCTTCTGCAAATCAGATTCTCACTATTTCGGCTCTGATACTAATCCCTCCTTTGATTTCAGATTATATGATTTACAGTTCTTGGGAGTCACCCAATGATGGTGTGCTTCTTCCATGTGGACTTAAGTAACATCTGTTTTTGCCAGGGATGGTTCTGCCCCACTGTGTCTGTGTTTTCAAGCTAAAATCCAGAAGGAGGAGGGAAAAATAGACACAAGAAGCAGGAAGGAGGTCAGGGTCAGGGAGCCCCTCTGGCTGTGAAGCCGCTGTAGTCTTAGGCGCTACTGATCTTCAGACCGTTCCCTGGAGCTGCGTGGAGGAGAGCCTGAATGAGAGATGGCAACCTCTACCTCATGCATTGGAGCTTGAACCTATGGCCCTTTGTTCTCTCCATGAGTGACTCAGTGTGATCCCACCTCACTTGGATTTGCCTCCTGTATTGTGTGTCGGTTAGATCAAGTCTGTTCTTCTTCAGAGCGCACACACTCCCCGATGTGTATGGGAGAAGGGGTGAAATCACCCTCTCGGACTTGATTAAATCTTGGGTATTCCTCCATTCACTTAGCAGGAATGGAGAGCAGGAACTTATTGCTGTGGGAGGGGCTTCTGGGCTCCTGGTTGGCCCCCCAAGTTCGCTGTTCCTCTTAATGTCATTGTTTGGGTTCCCCAAACTTTCTCTGTCATTTTTCAGTTCACTTAATGTTCATTTCTCAGAGATTCAACTCTTTACATTTCTTTCTCCATATCTCTTCTCCACATCTTGATTAAAGAGAGGTCATTCTGTGCATGTCTGTGGTGCTTTCTTTATCAGAATCTCTACCCTTGCTACCCTTACAGCTTATGCCAACTTGGTATCATGTAAAAAAATAATTTAAAAACTCAAAACTTTGTTATCCAATTTATTACAAGAATCTTTGGGAAGATGTGAAAGTCTGAAAAGTGTCAGTCAACATAATAGAGAGAAGGTGGTGAAGAAAACATCACTCTCAATGGAGCGTGAACCAAAGCAGATGGGTGAGCCCTTTAGCACTGTCCTGTGCAGTAGCTGTTCATAATCACCCTCTGGCCTCAGACACAGTTAAGGTGTGTCTTCTGGACCATTGAAGAACCCTCAGCCTTCACAAGGAACATGAGGCATTGCACAAATAATGGATATTAAAGATATACACTTAAATTGCCTGAGGCATCTGCTCAGTGTTTTTAATCCAGTTTGAGAAAAAAAGAGAAAGGTTTTATTGCTTTAAAAATATTTGCTATCTACTGAGCTAGATTATTGGACAAGTTCACTTTTGTGCAGTTACGATAAAATGCTATATAAATGATATATTACTCTAAAGTACCTTATCTCTTCATTGTAATATATGCATTAGAATACTCAAACTATATCTTTCATCTGCTCTATACCAATATTCTAATTGCTATTGAGTTCAACCTATTTATTCAGCTGCATTTTATAATGCCTATTTTATTTCAGGAGTCCTGGCGGTATAGTGGGTTAAGCCTTTGGCTGCTAACTGTAAAGTCAGCAATGCAAATGCTCCATGGGGCAAAAAGTGAGCTGTCTGCTCCCATAGAAGTACAGCCTCAGAATCCCAAAGAGGCAGTTTTGCTTCATAGATTTCTATGAGTCAGAATTGACTCAATGGAGTTTATTTGTTTATTATATTCCAGGCCTTTCCAGTTAGTTACTGAAGATATAGTGCAAGACATGGCATTGTTGAGTAAGCATTGGCCTGCTAACCATGAGGCTGGTGGTTCAAACCCATCAGCTACTCCTTTAGAGAAATATAAGACTGCTTCCATAAAGATTTATAAAGCCGTGGAAGCACTATATAGGGTTGCTATGAGAAGAAAGCACATAGTTCATAAACATCAATAGGGAAAATGCATTCTGTCTTTGTCGCATTTACTATGAGAATGAAGCCCATTCTCCGCAACCAAATCATCAACATTCCATAAAATGTCAACATCTCCTTAAAGGGATGTACAGTTAATTGTGAAGGGCCCACAGGAACCCTGCAGAGGGACTTCATGTCACTGTAGAACTGGACTGATTTCTTGGAAGAAGATACTTCACATTGACAAATGGTGGGGAAGTAGGAACTGGCTACATCCACACTATCTGTAGTCATGAGCAGAACACAATCCAGGGTGGTACATACACTGGGCTTCCAATACAAGACGAAGTCTGTTTATGCTCACTTCCCCATCAACGTGGTTATTCAGGAGAATGGGCCTCTTGTTGAAATCCGTAACTTCTTGGGTGAAAAATACATCCAGAGAGTTCGGATGAGGACAGGTAGTGCTGGTTTTATTTTTCAAGCCTAGTAAGATGAGTTAATTCTTGAAGGACATGACATTGAACTTGTAACCAATGTAACTGCTTTAATTCAGCAAGCTGCAATGGTTAAACAAAAGGTTATATGAAAGTTTTTGGAGGTTATAAGAGTTACAGCTCTTGTCACAATCCATGCATCAGTTGTTTCAAGCATGTCTATATTTCAGAAAAAGGAACAGCTCAACAGGATGATGAGTAAGATCTAAGAGGTGGCCAGCTATTAGATGATTCTTTTAGACCTGTCAGTGATACTTTGATACAATAAAATCTATCTAATGGTGAAAAAAAATTCACTAGGAACCAAGGAAACATTTAAATGAGGAACACTACCTGTATGGCTTATGTGTGTGTGTATCTGTACAAGATATTCAGGGTAGGCAACTTTACGGAGACAGTGACTGGACCAGTGGTTCCTGGGGGGTCATGGGAGGGGAGGAGGTTGGAAGAGGGGAGTGAGGAGTCAGTACTGACGGGTACAAGAGAATAGTAAGTGTTCTAAAGTTGACAGCAAGGAGTGTATGGCTTTCCCTACTGTGTTTGAACAATTGAATTGTACCTGAGAGGAATTACCGAAAGGTGAATGATGGGTAAACATAACAGTGGGGAAGGAGGGGGGGAATCGTGTGTGTATATATATACATGGGTAACAAGGAAGCAGATGGACTTTGGGCCTCTGTTTAAATCTTGCTTCAGTACAAGAACACTGTGTTCTAATAATGCAAAATTGTATGAAACTCACTGCCCTGACATGATCACTGAAGACAAAATGGGTGCATAAGCAAATGTGCTGAAGAAAGCTGATTGTGCCTGGCTATCAAAAGATCTAGTGTCTGGGGTCTTCAACACTTGTGATTAAACAAGCAGCCATCTAGCAGGGAAGCAACAAAGCCCACATGGAAGGAAGAAGTACACCAGCCTGTGTGATCATGAGGTGTCGATGGGAAGAAGTATCAAAAGCCCAAATACACGCAACCAACTGAATGTGAAGGGGCATGGATGCAATGGAGACCCAAAACCCACCTGCAAGATTGGTCAGTCCCTCTCAGAAGGGCCACATGGAATGGATGATAGAGCAGCGTGCGCTATGGCACCTGGGAACCATACAACGATCCTCTAGTTAACATTCCTTCCCCTTACTAGTAAGGCTTTTATGTGTTTTACCTTTTTGATTGCCTTAGTACTTGAAGGTCAAGATGGATGACCACTCAGAGACAGTGACAGGAGTTGTGGTTCCTAAGGGTACACGAGGAGGGAGGGGAGGGGCAAGGGGGAAAAAGGGGAGTGGATCACTTCAATGATTGAATAGCCCCACCCAATGGCATTGAACAACAGAACTGTATGTGAATGGATATATTGGAATGTGTAAGATAGGTCAATAAAACTATTATAAACCATAAATAAATGAACATTTTTTTAAATGTACAGGTAGTTTCCAGGTTACAAATGAAATCCATTTCCAAGTGTGTGTTTATGTGGAATTTGTAGGTAACGAAGAGTTCATCAGTAAGCCAGGTGTTTGTAACCCAGGAACTTACTGTACTAACTTAGCTTAAATTTCTCTTTTTTTTAATCTTTTAATTTCATTTTTAGATCATTTTATTGGGGCTCTTACAGCTCTTATAACAATCCATACATCAATTGTATCAAGCATATTTGTACATATGCTGCCGGCATTATTTTCCAAGCATTTACTTTGTCTATCATTGCTGTCATTCCCCATTCCTCCCCTCCTCTCTCCACTTACCCTCCTGGTATTGCTACTCGCATTTCTATTCCTGAGGGGTTAAATTGCTCTTCTTTTACTGATATACCATACTAAGTAGAGAGAAATTAAATTAGAATTCTCAAATTTCTTGTGCCCTTTAATATAAATTGCTTTGAGAAATAGTTTGGCAATGTCTATCAAAATTCACACCAAAAATGCCTATTTCTTGTGCCAGTAACTTCACTTCTAGGAGTTTATTTCACATAAAAAATAAAGTGTTGGGGGAAATATACATTTAACCCTAAACATGCTTCACATTATTTTAATAAATATTGGTAGCAACCAAATGTCTTCCAGTAGGGAAATGTTTGAGTAAATCAGGATACAGACAGACACTCAATCGGACATCATATATATGACAGGGGAAAGAGCGGCTCCAACAGCTACAGCCAGAAGAAACGCTTTTGCTACAGTGAGGAAAGACCCACAGTGGGATGTGTATGTGTGCTCTTTGTAATCACTTTCATTTTGTTTTAATGACTCAAAGAGGTCCACTAAAATGTGAATAATGGTATGTTAGAGTTGTCAGATGAAAATTTTCAGTTACGGATAAGAAGAAAAAAGTCTCCCTAAAATTTAATTTGAATGACAATAAAGAAATCAACTCGCTGTTTATCTTTTCACAAGAGTTTTGAAGGCACCATTGTTTGGGAGAGTCAAGACCTGCAAGGCCTTGTGTCAAGAAACCTTCACAACGTGACTGTCAACGATGGAGGGGGCGTTCTCAGAGTCCTTGCTGTAAGTGACCTTTTTAAAAAATCATTGGAAGATGCTGTTTTTATTTAGTTCTTTATGTATCTTTAATACATTAGGAATGCATTAAATTTGCTTTTACACCCATATAGGCAATAGAACAATGAATTTTCTGTGTTTTAACAGAAATAATAGAAAGAAATAGTAAAGACTAATTCAATGCCATCGAGTCAATGCTGACTCATAGCGTCCCCTGTGGGTTTCTGAGACTGTAACTGTTTATGGTAGAAGAAAACAGTCTTTCTCCCAGTAAAGACTGAAGAAAACTCAAATGTTAACATGGTTTTGTAACTTCAACGTTAGTGATTTTAAGATCAAATACAGTTAGAAAGTTTGATCATTTTATTCTTGAATAATTTTTATTACCACTTAAAAAAATCATTTTATTGGGGGCTTGTACAACTCTTATCACAAT